GAGTCACTCGCAGGTCCTCGCCCCAGCACGTCCCCAACACTCGCCGTAGGGCACCGACGGGGGGGGGGGGAGCAGCGCAGGACAGTGGCCTCGGGCGGGGAGCTGATGAAAATTAACCTCGGCTTAGGCGTGGCTGAGTATAGGTGAAGAACTGCGGAGGTTCGTCGCTTCTCTCTTAACCTTGGGCTTCCCAAACGAAAGCCGCGTGCCACGGGCCGGGGTGTCACGGTGTAAACGCCAGCCGGGTTAGGGGCAGCGCTCCAGGTTCAGCCCCCCCGGGGCTGATCACGAGTGCGGACACAGCCGCAGCACCACGTGTGTTCAGGTTTCCATCCTGGCAGGTATAACCCATGCACAGATAGCAAAGCAGACGGCAATAAGCAGGTGTGTGTGCGGAGCCTTTCCTGAGGAGCAACTCCGCACCAAAGCAAATTACTGTCAGCTGTCATTTCAATGAAAATGAGCTTCACTGATTGCTTTTTTGCATATTCATTCAGAATGAAACCAGGTGTTCCTCAGCCCGTGTTATCAACCTGCAACTCGCATTTAAAGGCAGTCAAGAAAATTCTCACAAGAAAAAGGATTTTGCGTCTTGTTAGTGAAGTGGTTCATCTGAAAAAACATATCTACTAATGGTGATGGGAGTACACTTCTGAATCAGAAAACGTTTCCCAAGCTGTTAGACACAGCGATATGCAAATTGCCGTTCCAGCAATATTAATATTGCCCCAGCATGAGTCAAGCTTCTGTTGTTTTTAGAATGGAAAAGTAACCTCCCCTCAGGAAAAATAGTTCTGAATCACTGTTGAGGTTTGAGTGTTTTAATAGAACAACTTTTTTCTGGGTTTAATTATTTTAACTATACTTGCTTGCTACATTTATGTTTCTTGTCGTGGCATGTTTTCAGTCTACAACCAGGAATCCAGGTTGCAGTGATATATTAGACTTCAGAAGGAAGCAAGTTGCTCTATCTAAATCATCTGAGAAATTCTTTTTGGTTATCTAGGCTGTCTGAAATTGTCAGGACATCTCCTTTTCCTCCCAGCTTGTAGGACCTGAAGCATTAGTGTCCCCGCCTATATATATGTTGCTTCCTGCTGAAGAAATATTTATAGCATTTCTGACCTTTGAATGAACTTCTATGAAGCAATAGCAACAAAGTGGAAGGAAAGTCAGCAGCAGTTTTCCTCTTGTCTGAGTGTAGCTAATGTTAGTCTTGGAATATCCAAAATATATTAGGAACTTTCATAATCACATCTATGCAGCATTTTTGCAGGAAGTTTGCAGATTTTTTCAGCGCTGTCATGTAGCTGCTATCTAAAGGATACGCTACAATGCCAGAGCCAGTGGTGTCATTAATGGGGTTTTAAGTTGTTATGTATCAGTTTTTACATGGCAGAACTACTGCAAGAGGTCTTAACAGCCAGATCTGAAAAATCATTTTCTTGACTGTATTGTGCCACAGGGAAAATGTAAATGGATTAGAAACCCTTTTCGTTAATGACTTGCTGCAGCTGAAATACCATTAATTTCCTCCCACTTCAGATTACAGAAATAAAACTGACACAGTCACACCCCTAATGTGTGAGCACAGTCAGCCATATGAGATGCTTCAGGGCAAGGTTTGCCAGTCCAGAGTCATTATCCATATGACCCTACAACTCAAATATTATAAAGGACCTTTCCTAATTCCTCAGATTTCTGAAGCCACTTCTAAAGTCAAGGTGTTCCCATAATGAATTAGACATCTCAATGCCATTTGCTGCCTCCAAGCGTAGAGGAGGAAACCAGGCTCCAAAATTTCCCTTCATTTCACTGCCTAAAAGCGAAGTTCCTAACCTAATGAAATCCTTTCCTTCTCCAGAGCTGGCACCTCTAGCAAGTGCTTCTTGCACTCTCTTTTGCCTACTGAGGGAGCCTGGCCAACTAGTTCAGGTTGTAACTGTAAATTAGAAGCCTAAATTCCGGATGCATGAAGTTAAGTGAGATGAATCCCACTTCTAGGGGTGACAGTAATAGATCTCACAGAATGAGAGATCTTCTACCTTGTAATTAGAGTGAATTTTTTTCAGTCAGGACTGCCCCTCATGCCTTTACATAGAGGTAGCGAAGCACTTCTGGTGCTGCTGTAATACATAGGCCTCCTATTCGCAAATGCAGTGTTGTTATTCTAAAAATCCCTCTCATAATAGCTCCAGGTTTTTCTAGTATTTTTCTGATTGACTGAACGGAGAGACAGTGATATCTACACAGACCTTCACAGACTTCAGGAAACTTTTGATAGCAGCTCAAAAGAGTTGTTTTCATAAGTATCTTTTTCTCTGTCCATATTGTTTGAAGATTGTGTCTACTTGTTCAGCCAGCCTTACAAATACATCTAAAAATAGAGGGGAAATAAAACAAATTTGCTGAAGTTTGACAGCTTCTGTTTGATCAAAAGTTGTTTGCTCAAAAGTATTTTAAAAGTCAGGAAATTATGATTTTTTTTTTTTATGGATGCTATCATACTTATTATTACAATCATTAGGTTTCTGGAGAATAACAAAGGAAAAGACATTTCCACACAAGTTCTACATGAATTGTTAGCGTCAACTTCAAATTTCCTTGTTTTTTCCTCATTTATAAAACACTCCTAATATAGAATAGTTTTGTCTGAGAATAAATCCTATTCAAATTCTTCGATTCATAATATTAAAGAATTATTTACTGCCCCTCTCCACGTACCTATTTCCCTTTTCTTGCTTCTTTTTTTATTTCTTTCAAGGACCAGTGTACTGCTCCATGTACATCTTCAGTGATTTTAAACATAAACCTGTTTTGTCATTTCACTGTTCTCCAAAATTTACATTCCAGCTTTTGGCACTCTCTAACCAAATTAAGTTTGCTCTCCTTTAGTCTTCTTCCTAACACGTTTTAAGTACTTTGAAAAATTCCATAAAGCAGGCGAGACACTGAAGTCCTGATGTTATACCTAATTCAGATCAAAGTACTATATTGGCTTCTAACCCCTCTGTCTCTAGCATAAAAAAAAAATAAAACATGTTTGAGACTAAATAACAAAATCCCCCTTTTCTTTAGCCACATCAGTAGAAGGCATTAATATTAATATTTCTGATGAAAGTCTAGTTTATCGGTTCACTAAGGCTAGTATTTTGGCTCCAGCAAAAAGCTAAAAGTTCATCTGGCAATAGCACACAGATCAGAATGAGCAATAAGGTCACATGGACACCAGGACAGATCCAGCTGCTTTGGGACCAGCTAGAAACGAAGCCTATGGCACAGTTTGGTGATGACCAGGTGTCGTGGTTTAGGCCTGATTGGCAGCCAACCACAATGCAGCAGCTCTCTCTCCCTTCCCCTCCGGCAATGAGAAGGGACAGAGAGCCAGGCTTGGGGTTCAAGATAGGACTGGGATGGGGGAAAATCCCCCTTTTATGATCACGAGCAAAAGGCAGACTCGTTAGGGGAAGAAAAAAAGAACATGCATTTATTACAGACACTAACAACACGTAACAGAGTAGGACAGTGAGAAGCATTGCCACATCTTGAGAACACCTTCCCCCCACCCCTCCCCTCTTCCCAGGCCCAGCTCTGCTCCCGATATCTCTAACTCCTCCCCCAGGGGCACAGGGGCAGGGAATGGGGGGTGCAGGCAGTGCTGCCAGTTCCTTCATCTTCGGTGAGGGGAGTGTCCAAAACTTGTTCCCCCCTGCTCCATCGTGGTCCCCCTCTCACAGGAGACAGTCCTCCACAAACTTTCTCTGACATGAGTCCCTCCCACAGGCCGCAGCGTTCCCCACACTGCTCCGTCATGGGTCACTAACTCCCTCCGACTGGATTCCCTCCCACAGCTGCAGCCCTTCCCGAGCTGCTCCGGTGTGGGACTCCCCCGCATGCTGCAATCCTCCCAGCGCTGAATTACAGCAGCGGGGCTGCCTTTTCCCATGAGACCTCGGCCTTCTTCGGGCACAGACCCTTGATCAGCTGAGCAGGAACAACAGGCCATAAATCAGTGTCTGCTCCACCGTAGATCTTCATGGGTGGTAGGGGGGGCCGCCCTGCCGTCTCACCACAGGGTACAGGGGGGTCTCTGCTCCGGCACACCTCCCCCCTCCTTTCTTCCTCCGTTCCTCCACTGACCTTGGTGTTCATGCAGCTGCAGCAACTCCTCCTCACAAGTCCGACTGCCCGTCACCACGTCCCTTCTTAAATACGTTATCGCAGAGGCGCAGCTGATGGGCTCAATTTCCCAAACAGAAGTGGAGCTGACGTGGAGCTGGGGGAGCTTCAAGAAGCTTCTCACAGGGGGCCGCCCCGATAGCCCCCTCCCCTGCCAGCAAAAAACTCCACCACTCACTCAACCCAGGACACCAGGTTCCACTGATTTTTCCAGTTCCCTGAGAGCTGCCAGCGTGGATATATGCCAAAACGTCACCAGCAGCAATATTGTCTGCTCGTCGTTTCTTCATAACTGGGTGATAACTGGAATTGCTCATTGCTTGTGCTGATCAAAGGTTGGCAAACGTCCATCAGATCTACCTGGGTCTGGTTTGTTGTATTTATGTCAGTGTTTAAAAGCAGGAGGTAATTTGTCTGGGGGGAGAGGTACATGCTGTTTCTTACAGTCTGCCTGAGCTCAGGGTTTCACCTTAGGTCTGTAGCAGCTCCTCCATCAGTCGGGTCCGCGTGGTTTCCTGCCTTCACTGCTGCAGCGTTTGGGAGGCAAAGCCCATGACTTTGATTCCTTGGGTCTTCTGTAGTTCTCGAAGACAAGGCTCGGCTGCTTCTTTTCTCACAAATGTCCGCCTACTCCCAGCTACCAAATACCTTGGCTGAACCCACAGTCAGTACCAGGACTTGAGCCAGATGCTGGAGCTGCTCTAATGTCAAATTGGACCACGATCTCCAAGCTGTGCACAGGCAGCTCGTCACACGCCTCGTGAACACGGGAGCACGGGCTGCTCTCACTAACAGCAGGCAATTTTGCTTGGTGATTTCAGAGAATGACGAGGAGCAGGAGGCTCTGCTATCACTGGACAAGCCTGGCTGGTATTCCCAAGGTAATGCTATTCAGCTTTATGAACTACTGAAGAAGATGACTGGCAAGTTGGATCCCAAGGTATGCTACAAGTGAGAGTAAATACTTCTGAAAATACCCTGTTTCAGTCTGAAATCCACCAGAGAAGCTTTCGTTGAAGTTATTGATGTGATCGGTCACCAGTTTTTGTTCTGGTTACGCTTGCTGTTGTCTAACAGACTGCAGTCCAGAACTGGAAATAGCATATTAGTCTTCTTATCGGTAGAACTTGTAAACTTTCTGGATGCTTTATTCTGTGCGCACAGCCATGCATTTCGGCAGCTTTGGGGAGAATCGGATCGTAATCAGGAAACAAACAATCTCCCTGAGGAAACATATCAAATAGATGAAAAGGTGGCATCAGTGAAAACTGGGATCATGTTATTTTAACTACAGGTCTAGATGGGTGAAAATGCCACTGAGGACAGTGGGACCACAATTTCCCTAGTGGGTAAATTAACCCCCCGGGGCACAGAAGAGATTCTGAGTCACCAAGAGGTGCTCCGTGTTCTCCCTTGTTTCCAAAGTTGTCCAAAATCCGTTCCCATTGTTCAGTGTATTTTCTTGGTAGTCTGTTCCACCGCTTCCTGGCAGGCTATGTCTGTCAGTCAGAAATCTCAGCAGTGTCCCCTGTGCCAGTCCCAGCCGGGCATCCCCGTCCAATGCCCCTGGAGGGTGAGAACAAGGAGGCTGTGCAGGGCCAGCCTTTTCCTTACAGAGATGGTCGAAGATAAAACCCCAAACTGTGACATTAATAAGATCTGTGTGTGTCATGACCAGCTGTAAACACAGAGGAATTTTTATTAGGTTGTTTTAAAGCTCTTTTTCTCTCTCTGTGAAATACAGTTTGCTTGTGTTTTCTTCATATACAATGAACTTTTAATTTGCTGCTTCTCTTGTAGGTTGTTTATTTTGGTGACAGCATGCACTCAGATATTTTCCCAGCTCGTCACTATAGCAACTGGGAAACCGTCTTCATCTTAGAGGAGCTTCTAGGGGACAAAGTTACGTTGGCTGCAGAGACTGAATCTGAGCCCTTGGAGAAGAAAGGAAAATATGAGGTAAGGGTTCCTTGCAGATGTTTCCTGGAACAGAGGAAAGTCAGTTACAAAAAAGCCTCGTGCCACCTGTGCTGAGAATGAGCCTGCTTATCTTCCCAGGCTGCTGCCGGGAGGGTGCCGTCCCGTCCCAGCTCCGCGTTGCACGGGTGGCACAGAGCCGCTACCCAGACCTAAAGCACAGGTCTTGGAAAAAGAGCTCTATGCACTTTCCCTTAACAACAACAAAAAAAAAACGTAGTCTTCTGTTCCATAAGAAGAACCTGCTCTCCATCCTACAGGGAGAAATTTCACAAGTCCGGCACCTAAACTGCTGAGTTCATGACGTTTCCCTGTGTGTCGTGGCCAACTGTAAACACCGAGGAATTTTTATTAGGTTGTTTTAAAACTCTTTTTTCTCCCTGTGAAATACAGTTTGCTTGTGCTTTACTTCTCTACAAAGCACTTTTAATTTGCTGTTTCCCTCGTAGATTGTTTATTTTGGTGACAGCTGCACTCAGATAAGAGGGGCTGTTTCTAGGTCTGGTCTAATGCAGACTACTGATAGTCACCTCAGATAAATAATGTGATTATCAGGTTGATCACAGCTGGGAAGCAGTGCCTTAGCACTACTGCCGTTCTTTAATTCTCCCACCGAAGGTGGAAGGTTACTGTGGTTTATCTCCCTCTCCGCTGCAGAAGAACAAAGTAGGTGGGGCACGGCGCTCAGACGGCCAATGCAGCAGTGTTGCACCTCCAGCATGTCCTGTGCAGGAACTGCAGTGCCACTTCACTCTCTGTTTGGAGTGTTTCCTTTCTCTTACATTCCTAAATAAATAGGTCATTTTCTTCTAATTGCAGATATATATATATATATATGCTTTTTGCACTTTGCTTTGAAAAGAACTTAACTTTTCCTTTTAAATAATTACACTTTGCGATTAAAAAGTTAACTTACCAATAGGAAGCTTTTTGTAGGGGTGCTTTTATACTAGAGATGTTTTTGATCTAAGAAGCGTTTTAAAAGCCCCTGGTTTTTGTGGAGAAAAGGATATCTTCAGTGGGACTAAAATAATATAGATGTGACATCTATTCCTCGACTTTTTTTGATAGACATATCTAATATTTCCCCCCACTATCCTGATTTCTAAACTAAGGTCAGACAAGGACAGTTCAGTCACTGGGTTGTAGAAAAACAAAAAATGAAGACAAACAAACTGAAGTCTCCTATCAAGAAAAATGTGTTTCTCACTAAGAAAGGAGGGGAAAAAAAGGAAGAGTAGTAGTGCTACTTAGTTTAATATCATTTGATTTAATTAATTAATGCTATAAAAATAACTCATTCTCCTCCATAAATTTGTTCATTCTCTGACTGAGGACTCTGCTGCTTTGCTGCATAGACCTTACCTCTGCAAGGTTTGGGGTTTATTATTCATCCATGGTTTCTTAAGTATGTTCAATATATGCTTTTGAAGGATGCATATTTAAACAGCCAGCCGGAACATGTTTCTTTTCCTGGAAGTACAAAGAAAGACTTATTGAGCGATGTGTTTCTAAGCCCTTGATGATGATTTGGTTTTTTCTTGTTGCAATACCTCTGGTCGATTGCTCACAAGATCTGTCTTCTCTACCGCTGCAGTTATCAAGCAAGAAATGCAGACTTTTAGACAGGTTCTTGACATTTCACCAACACTGTTGTATTCCTTCCTGATAAGAGATCTCAGGGAGACACCACCCCTGCCACACACAACCCCCTGTTCAGTTTACATCCGCCACCAGTGACAGCAGGCAAGCAAGGGAGAAATGAATTGGGTTGATTAAAGGAATCTGAACCAGGGGGGCCGTGGCAGGTCAGTGGTGTTATTTCCTTACCACGCTGCTCACTGGAGTCTGAACAACAGGTCACATCCATATCTCCGCAGTTGACTGGACAGCACTAACTTAACAGGACTAGTTCAAAGGGACTCCCTTTACAAGCTTATGAGAGTTTTATTTTCATTCCCCTAATCAACTTCTCCCATTAACCCTTTGCTTAAGAGGGGAGAAAAGCCAACTCAAAGGACTGTACAAAGTCAGGTATTTTTGGAAAATTAGGCACTGACAAATTATATTTAAGTCCTAATCATCAGCCTTCTCATTCACTGACAGTAAAAAAAATACACTACTATTGCAGATTTTCCAGGCCATGTTGTGTGTGCAGAGAGGGCCTGAATATTTAATACAAGATGCAATCCTCCCTTCTCTCAATCTTTACAAAATACTATTCAAGAAATAAAGTATTAACTTCCTATTTGCAACTGCATCTTTCAGAAATAAATTACAAAAAACTGGTTTTGTTTTTTTGACTGGTATTTCATCAGTAACAGGGAGAGGGGAAGAAAACAACCTCCTCGCACACAAACTGGGAGGCTAGTAATCTCCATTTTCATTAGCAGTTTTTGTGTTTCCCTTCAGTTAAATGCATGATAGAAGCCAGATACACATAACTGTGAAATTAGGGTAACATCTGCAGTTCTTTCAAGTACATGAGTCATAACCAAACGAGCAAAAGAATAGCAAACTAAAAACTATTCATGCAATTACTCGGCTCCTAAGTGTATTGCAGCATGCAGGGGAAAAAAAAATACCAAGCATTGTGTTGAAACGAGATTCCCCCCAGATTTGGGGGCTTGTTTGCTTGGCTGGAGGCTTTGTTTTTGCCTTCTGTTCTTTAAATGTGTGATCAATTCCATCAATGAAAACTCTAAGAAAAGCTGGAATTCATCCCAGGATTTCGAGGGAAGCGATTACAGAGGAGCTAGTCAGTGTGTAAAAACCTTGGGCTATAGGAATGAATGAAGCAGAAATCAAAGAAGTTATTGGCAGACGTAGACAGTATTTTTGAAGTTAGAAGGAAAAACTAATTTTTACAGTATTACCTAGTGGCTGGTTGATTGGAGGGGTCAGGGGACTTAACTCACTGAATTTCCCTAACTCCCTCAGCATGACTTTAGACGACGGCTAATTACTCTGTGCCTTTTGGCTCTGTTTCTCTCTTCATTCTTGCTTAACACGCATCCAACAGTATTTTCAGGAACAACATGATGGGCTCTTGTGAAGCCTGGCGAGTTAAAGCCATGTCCTTAAAGCAATATCCTGAAGTGAAGTGCATTGTATTTTTAAAGGAGGTCTGCTTATAGTGATCCATGTTGAAATTTAGCTATAATGATCATGGGTGAAATGTTTTATATTTGCACGTGACTTGTGGGGGACCAGTTCTGTGCAAAAGTTAGCCCAGTGGCAGGTTTGCACACCCCGAGTGTCTGTGTTCTTCAGGGACATCTAATTGTTGTGACCAGCACAGCTGTGCTGGCGGAAACACCTCAAATACTTGCCATTATGCAGTCAAAACTGCATTTTGAGCATTGTTTTTTCTGGCACGAAGGGTCTGTGGTGGTGTTACTACCTTGGCACAAAGCATACAGCCATCGGTACCATCCACTATACTGCCTGCAGGATACAGGATACAGTACGCAATAAAATAATCCTCATGTCCCACACTCTGTATAAAAGTGATGGCATAGGTGGCAAATCCCCACCTAAAAATACTAATGTACTGCATGTACGATGTTTTTCAGCTTGATTTTTCGCTCCTGTCTCCTTTACGTCCTTCTTTCTTTCATCTCTTTACCAAATGTAGAAAAACTTAAGAGCCCAGCTCCCTGCCTGTTTCAGTTCTAAATAGGCCATTTGTGAGCTGACAAATCAGTGTCACCCAAGGGTCCTATTAACAGATTCTGTCTGCTCGGTTAACAGGCCCTATTTGTCTGCAGTTAATAAAGCAAAGGTGATAGTAACTATTCCAGGTGGTTTAACTTAATGGAAAGCCTTGGGATTTGGGAAACACTCATACCATCATTATTTCTCTGAAGTCTAGACCTACCCTTTGAGGCTTTGTACCCTCAACTGACACAATCAACATCAGACCTGCTACTGTCTGACCAATATGCCTTAGACCAAAACCACCCACCCTGGAGGGTTTTGCATATGAAAGAAGGTTTGCTCAGCATTTCCCAGGACCTACTGTCCTGCTGCGAGAGCAACCCCTCTGCCTGAGGACTGCGGGAGGGCCTGGTGCACCTTCCAGAGCTCCTCAGCCCCCACCCCTGAAGGTGTGAGGAGTAGCAGTGTTACCAAGGGACTTTTGCCTCATTTCACGGAGTTATAGACTTCATGGTGTGTGAGCTCTCCTTCATTGCAAGCTACGTATGCTGCAGGTGAGTTACGGGCATCATGTTAGCAGCAGTTAGGGATGGCAGGGGGAGGGGTGTCAGATGCTTCCGAAGGACGGGGGCAAAGTTGTCACAGCTCTTTTCAGATTTGAGCTCAAGATTTAGCGACACTACCAAACCACCCTTGCCATGTGGAGATAAGCCAGTAGCAAAATGATGGGAGTTGTCTACCAGGTGACTTGAAGACAAGTCTCATGCCTGACCGGGTTTGATTTTATTAAGGGCTTGGGTTGTAAATCCAAAATGTAACTCCTTCCTCCTTTCTTAACAAGAAAGAAATTCCCACTCTGAGAGTCAGACCTCTGAAAAAAACAATCCATTTCCTCAGATTGCAATTTTAATTGCCTATGAACTAATCATACATTTCAAAAGCAGAAACCTCAGATTTTTTTCTCTTGTCAGTAAAGAAGGCCCTGTCTTTTGTGCAAATGCATGTGTGGGCCAGTACTGGGGTGGTTGTTTTCATTAATCACCTGAATAGCTGGAACGGCCTTAAGAGTTTTCTGCATGTGTCATCCAGCTGGCAAATGGATTTTAATTCAGCATAGCATCTACATTTGATTATAACTGATGTAAAGTCCTGGGATTTGCATGGAAAGGTAAGATTTAGGAGGGGGAAACAAAAAAAAAAAAAAAAAAAAAAAAAAGAGTAAGATGCTCTACCTGTGTGTGAAGGGAAAAAAAAAAAAAAAAGAGTCCAGCTCTTAAGTGAACTGCTGGCTTTGAAACGAAAAATATGGGGCTTTTTTCCAGCTTACTTGCATCAGAAGACAGAAACCAATATCTATGCCCAAATCAATACTTCCACCCCACCCCCAGCTATGCTCAGAGAAAAAGCTGTTAAGCAAAATCACAAAAAAAAATGGCTCTGTGTTTACTGATGTGGTCTGTTCAGCTGGATCAACAGCTTTCTTGTGATCAGAAGCTGCGGACCTCTGTCATAAACACAAATTATTCCAGCAGATTCTCAAAACTATTAAGAAGGGGGGCTAAATGGAAAATAGAGTACAAAAGTTCACAAATCTGGAGGCACACGCTAGCATATCTGTTCTTCTGTGCTTTGCTGTTCTGAAAAGATACTTTGCACACAAATGACTTTAACAGATTTTCTATAGTGTCATTCACAGTTTTGTTTTCCAATTTTTCATCTTTCTGTAGAGGCCTCCTGGAGCTTTTTCTGACTGATCATGGCAATATATAGCAGGTTTCAAGATGAACTGCTAAAAAAATCAGTTTTCCCAATGCTGCTTTAATACTTTCTTTAAAACATAATGAGTCTACATGTTGTTGTCTGAAAATGTACATGAAAAAAAATCAATTTTTCACAATTTGCTAGGCAACTGAATAGCTCTCCATGGATCCTGCAGCTCTGTTCTCACTCATCCCTCAGTTTGGAAATAGATAACTCAACAGCAGTGGCATGATGCGTTCTTTGCAGGTAACCCCATCCAGCACCAGGAGACTCCTTTCTCCAAGGGAGAGGTCCAGGCTGGGCTACGATCTGTGCTGCAGCTACCCGGCTTCTCCAGCAGAGAACTATTGAAAACAGAAAAATAGGGAAAAGAGAAGAATTTTTAAGGGAAAAATATGTATAGCCAACTTTTTATGTCCTAGGGAATCCATAAATTGTGGAAAGAGAAGCTTGGGGACTTATGGGAGAAAGATTGTTAGTGGTTTTCTTTATAATATTTTAAGGTCAGATTGCTCCTGAGATACAATACAGTTTTCTCAGGAAATCAGAGAAACACTGGAATTCCTTAAACTAATGCTTGTGGTAGGGTAGAGAAAGAAGGTTCCTCTTTTTTTTTAAGATTACATATTTATTTTTCTTTCAGGGAGATCAGCTCAAAGCTCCTTACTTTGTATCTAAACAGTGGGGCTCTTTCTTCATGGACAGATTACCAGGCCTGGAAAATGCAGAGGAAACCTTAGTTCGCACGTGGTCCTGTAGATGTATTAGCACTTACAGCACTATTGCAATCCCTAGTCTTGAAGCAATAGCAGGTAAGGAAGATTACTTTTTTTTTTTTTTCCTAATGAACATATAGTATTCATAGTAACTTTGTCATGTTTTTGAGATTGCATGTATCCAAAGTACATTCAAAAATATTCTATTCATATCATCGAGGTGCAGCTATTAGTTACTTTGATATTTAGTCTTTTAATAGCTGTCTGCACACCAGTTCAGTTCTTTCCTTTGTGCCTGCAAATATTAGATACTTAGTTTATCCTATGTTAGAAATAGGATGCAACATTTAACAGATTGTAGATTCATTCCTGATTTTTGATTTAGGACTTCCCCACAGTATTTTTCTGTGTCTACTTCCAGTAGTGAATAACCTTAGGAAACAAACACATGCCAAGCTACTTGGATTTTTTAGACTTCCAAATATGCTTCTCTCTGATCTGGCTTGTTATCCTTCCTCAGTCAGCTCACTTATCCCTTTACAGTTGAAATGGAGATAAACAAACACAGGAATGTAATGAAGCCAAGAATGCCTAGGATTATGCTTCTTTCTTTTGTTGTTTTGTTTGTTTTTTTTTTTTTTTAATGTGTGTATTGCTTTTGAAACTGCATCATTATGGACAGAGCTGGAGCCTAAAATATTCTCCTTATCTGGAAAACAAGGCAATCACAAGCAATGTCTTGTTCTCCAAAAATTCACCTAATTGAGAAATCAGCTCAGACTTTCTACCTTCTTACATCAAGGATGCATCAAAGGTACAATTCTGGCTGATCTTCTGATTTTCACTAGCATTTATCCCTGGAGGAACGATACGTGATTTTGGATGGTTTGTAGCAGTAATACTGCAATAACTTTGCAACTGCAGTACTTTATCAGTACACCATATCTAAAAGAATAACCAAATTATGAAATGACTGAGATGCTTAGCTGTATGAAGAACACAAGTATGTAGTTTACTAACACCTCTGTTCAGCATCTGTTGCCTACTTCGTGCATAAGACCAAGAAATAAAAAGTTGTCCTGAGAGAGCATTTCAGATTTCCACAGCAGTTATTTCTGCACCAGAACACGGTAGACCTGTTCTTTGCAACCATATTCTACACACGTGCATACATTATAAGGATATCTCAAAACAGAAAACTCATACGGTGCCACAGTTTATTTATGCTTCTGATATTTGCCGTGTTGGAGTCTGTATTTCAGCCTACAGGTGCAAATTCCAAATAAATATAACAAGGGAAATTGCCAAGAGAGAGGTAACTTCTGTAAAATTCCCTTCTAATACCTTTTCTGGAGTCATTCTGTGGCTTGCGAAGTCCGTTCCTCCCTTGGGAGGACTCCGGGTGCTGTCCCTCGCTGCGTCGGCCCGGTGCTGGGGCAGGGGCCGGGGTCTGCAAAATTTTTGTCCCAGAGATAAAGGCTGGGGGAGAAATAACGTTTCTAACTAGCAGCTGCGCGCCTGAAAGCAGGCTCAAAGCTGAAGGTACAAGAACATTTCTGGCTTCTCACAGAGAGAGGTATTTCTTGTTTGTTTCTGCGGAAGAGCAGATGTTCATTGTTTTGGATGTTGTGGAATTCCTGACTCGTCTCGAATACCTTGTCCTGACTCCTGTCACAGCAAGCTGGGAGAGCCCTGGCTTTGCCAAGCCCTGAAGTTGTTGGCTGCAGTTGTAAGTCATAGCTTAGCTGCAGCTATTTGAGAATAACCAGCTAGAAGAGATTCAAACAGGTTATGCGAGTTTGATGCGCTCCAGCTCTTCTTTTTATATCCCTCTACTTTAATTACCAGCAGACGACTTCCCGCTGCAAAAGCTCAGGCCTTCCCTCCAGATCCCTCAAGCCCAGACGGGCTGCCGGCGGGGTGCTGACCGTACGAGCCCAGCACCCAGCCCTGGCAGCACCCATCCCCGGCAGCACCCAGCCCTGACAGCACCCAGCCCTGACAGCACCCAGCCCCGGCAGCACCCAGCCCTGACAGCACCCAGCCCTGAGAGCACCCAACCCCGGCAGCACCCAGCCCTGACAGCACCCAGCCCCGGCAGCACCCAGCCCCGGCAGCACCCATCCCCGGCAGCACCCAGCCCCAGCAGCACCCAGCCCTGACAGCACCCAGCCCTGAGAGCACCCAGCCCCGGCAGCACCCAGCCCTGAGAGCACCCAGCCCCAGCAGCACCCAGCCCTGAGAGCACCCTAGCCCTGAGAGCACCCAGCCCCGGCAGCACCCAGCTCCAGCAGCACCCAGCCCCGGCAGCACCCAGCCCTGACAGCACCCAGCCCTGAGAGCACCCAGCCCCGGCAGCACCCAGCCCTGAGAGCACCCAGCCCCGGCAGCACCCAGCCCCGGCAGCACCCAGCCCTGACAGCACCCAGCTCCAGCAGCACCCAGCCCTGAGAGCACCCAGCCCCGGCAGCACCCAGCCCTGACAGCACCCAGCCCCGGCAGCACCCAGCTCCAGCAGCACCCAGCCCCGGCAGCACCCAGCCCTGACAGCACCCAGCCCTGAGAGCACCCAGCCCCGGCAGCACCCAGCCCTGAGAGCACCCAGCCCCGGCAGCACCCAGCCCCGGCAGCACCCAGCCCTGACAGCACCCAGCTCCAGCAGCACCCAGCCCTGACAGCACCCAGCTCCAGCAGCACCCAGCCCTGAGAGCACCCAGCCCCGGCAGCACCCAGCCCTGACAGCACCCAGCCCCGGCAGCACCCAGCCCTGACAGCACCCATCTCCGGCAGCACCCAGCCCTGACAGCACCCAGCCCTGACAGCACCCAGCCCTGACAGCACCCAGCCCTGAGAGCACCCAGCCCCGGCAGCACCCAGCCCTGACAGCACCCAGCCCTGGCAGCACCCAGCCCCGGCAGCACCCAGCCCCGGCAGCACCCAGCCCTGACAGCACCCAGCCCTGACAGCACCCAGCCCTGACAGCACCCAGCCCTGAGAGCACCCAGCCCCGGCAGCACCCAGCCCTGACAGCACCCAGCCCTGGCAGCACCCAGCCCCGGCAGCACCCATCTCCGGCAGCACCCAGCCCTGACAGCACCCAGCCCTGACAGCACCCAGCCCTGGCAGCACCCAGCCCTGACAGCACCCATCTCCGGCAGCACCCAGCCCTGACAGCACCCAGCCCTGACAGCACCCATCCCCGGCAGCACCCAGCCCTGACAGCACCCAGCCCTGACAGCACCCATCCCCGGCAGCACCCAGCCGAGGGAGCTGCCACGAGCTGTGGGCTCCCCGGGGTTTCGCCATTACCCGTGCCTGACCTGGCCCTTGTACGTCTGCCTGAGCGACAGTAAGTGCCACAGACACGTACGTATCCCAGCGAGCTGCAAAAATACTCGGTGCAAGGCAGGTGCTTGCTGGTGTGCTAACTTTCAGATTGCTTCTTGTTGTTTGGATGCAGCGTATATCAGTGCATAAAGAACAGCTGGGTTTACTTCTCGGGACACGTTTTCATCGAAAAAGATTATTCAGTGTTATTGCACACTAGTGACGTTTTACAAAAATAACTCAGTTTCCATCAATATTCATACGAGGATTCTTTTGAGAGAGTTATCAGAAATTCATTTTGGGTAATAAAACCCTTCAAGCCTGTATCCATTTTTTTTAAAATAGACGAAATATGTAAAAAAATAAGCTGTAGATCTGAATTGAGAAGTTGGAATAGAAACAACCTTGACAGCTCTTTTTTCACCAACATGTGGCAAGTTTGGTGCAGATGCCTTCTGATAGTTTCACCTGAACGTGTAACTAAAGGGAACAATCTGGGACTTACCAAAGAGCGTTGCAGGGAAAGGGTGTCACAGGGAATGCTGCTGTTACAGTTTTTGGCCAGTCAGAATATAAAATAGCAGAGCACGTACAGAAATTGCACGTGTAATTAGCAAAATGCCAGCTTGGTGAAAAGAGAATCCAATCCATTCTTCATTAGCTTTCTGTGCTAATCGAATGTAGTTGTTCTTCTACACTTCTGTCCCCGTCTTTACTTGAAAAATCAGTATCTGACTCAAAACAGGTTTGCATTCAAATGTGCATCAGAAATTCTGAGCTTTAATCTCGTCTCTGGCAAGGAAAGTCTTAGTGGGCTGCAGATTACTGTGTCAGTTTGTCATCTAAACTCCCCTGAGAGTCCCCGAAGAGAAACTGACATTTTCTTTGTGCATGAAAAAGGACATTTTGTTTATCATTAAAATTGCCCAAAGGACAGAAAGGTTCTTCTAGAAGATCTTCTGTGTACTTTCCTCATTTGGGATTGGAAATCAGATAAAGGGCAAATAAAACTCTTCATTTAAGACATTATCACCATGACATTAAGATGACATTAAAAAGGTTTAAATGAAGAGCAGCATTATGGCTATATCTTTGTAATTGTAAGACAAGATGAGTTAAGTTGAAAGTTTTCTAAACATTTCATAGGTCTTTTATGAGCTAATTCTCCTTACCCACTTCCAGCAAGCAGGGAAGTTCTTCTCAAGTACTGGAAAGCTGATGAGCTCGTGATTATATTGACAGTACATGGTTAATAAAATAGTAGAAGCCAGTGCCCTGCACCTACTCTACTTGCCTCACTCACAAATCCGTCTGTTTCTTCACTTTTCTGTTATTGAATCTCTCCTCATTTATAGCTCCCTTACAGATTTTGAGCAAGCACAGTGATAGAAGCCAAATTTTCCAAACCAGGATCCATTACCGTGGGAATGTTACATTCGAGCTCACACATGGAAATTAAAAGTTGTAGGGCTCTGTCTGAAAAACGGCATTTTGCATAAACCACAGTTTCTTATACATCCTCCTCCACTTCAGAAAGTTTGGTATGAGACAAGCAGAGGCAAGTACTCCTATCTATCATACCTAAATAAACAGAACTTTACTTTCAAGGAGCATGCAACCGCTATTCTGTAGCCATTTGACCAAATTTCCAGATACCCGTGTAATTAATTATATGTCCTGCATCACACAGGTATTCCAACAATAATTACAGAAGCTCTCTGATTAATAAAGATCAAATATAAATAATAATCTTATTTATTAAGCAAGTT